TTCTGAGACTTTGGTCTGGGAAATAATGCTGGAACAAGTCATGTATTATGAAGTGTTTTCTTGGTTCTACAATCTTTAATTTTCGGTGCAAGGGGTGCTGGCATGGAGGTAAATTGACTTAGTAACAAACTTTCGTTATGGGTTCGCGAGACTTGGGTGCTAGAAGGAGCAAATAGGAGTTATTCAATCCAATCTTTCACTATCAATGCTCAAAATGGTTTTGAAAACTCCTATACATTGAGCATATTCTACAGGGTTGAGCGGAGATGCGGTCGTTCCTTCCTGACTCTCCAGTTACCCTCCCCAATCTTACCCATCACTTTATTCTCTGCTTTCTTTTTTTGTTCCACTCAACTGTCATGTTTCCAATGAATGTCAAAGTATGTGCAGAATGTAATTAATATTGGAGGCATAGAGAATTGTGGAGTAAAGAACTGATTCATCTTAGAGTTCATCTCTAACTTCTCTTCTCACCATCTTTTCCCATCAGCACTTATTCTTCTGTATTCTGGTTCATATCTTTTACATCAACATATCTCCCTTCGTTCTCATCTGAATCTCCCAATACCATCTTGTGAGCCTGAGTCAAGAGATGGAGCTCGCTGACCCTAAGAAAGGAGGCCCTTATACATGAGAAACAGGCTTCAAAAAGCTTTCGAGCAAATGGTGAATTCATCTTGGTATTCTCTTTTTTTGCACCACAGAGTCATTTGAAATTCTGCCTATCATTAGATACCTAGGTAATACCTATCATTAGATGCCAAGGTAATATCGATCATTAGATGCCAAGGTAATACCTAGGTAATTGTCTACAATTTCAAAATTTGATTCGCAATCCATTGTCTTTTTTTGCTCTTCCTTGTCTCCTGTTTCTATTATATCTATCCTCTTCTATATCGTACTCTCTCCGAATTTCTCTCACTCCTATCACAGTACAAAGTCTTTCGTTGATGTAGTCATTGGTTACTGGAAATACATTCATCAAAAGGAGCCATCTATTCAGAACATACTGCAGCATTGCAGTGTTTATAACTATCCACGCCGTACCTAACGTTACTGTTTGATATTTATGACAATATTCTACATTTTGGTCCTCTTTCCTGTTTCTTATCATAAATACATTGTTGTGTTCTATCCGTCTTGTCCAGTGAGGCAGCTTCTTCAAGTATCTTTCCCCGAACAACAAGTTTACCATACAACTCATTGAATTACCACCTCTTTCCCAATATCTAAAACTAAAATGCCTCCTTCGAGCTATTTCCAGCAGTGGCCGGAATTCCCTTCCAATGTACCAGTCGCCAATATGTCAAGAATCTCCTTCAAGAACTTGCAAAGCAACAATTCTAACGAGTCTGCGAGACTTTTTGACGCATGCAGAGATCAAGGTCACTTCCTACTTGACTTGAAAGATTCTAATAACGGAGAGACCCTGTCTAGCGAGGCAGGATCTATGATGGATGTTGGTAGAGAGACACTCGATCTTGATCGACAGATTTTGGATACGTTCATGTATAAGCCACCAAAGAGAATGGTTGGGTATGTAGTTAGGATATCTCTTCTTGGGGGAAAACAGCTAATAGATGGGTAGATACAAGCCATCTCGGACTCTTCAAACCCCCGACGGACGCATAGATTCCGTCGAGTTCTTCGCTATTTCCCAAGATGATGCCGTTGGAAATAAACAACCACTTACTAATCCGCAGCCAGTAGAGCATGACCGCGATAACATCAAGAGTTTCTTCGAACACGCTCACGGAGCACTCGACCTAATCCATTCCCATTTAGACATGAGCATGGGCTTAGCGCCAGGTACTCTCGAAGCTTTGAGCTCTATCAACAAAACTTCTGACACAAGCATTAGAATGTTATGCACTCGACCCAAATCAGTCAAAGAGGAGTTCGTCACCCTCAACAACCATACAGACATTGGCTCAATTACATTATTGTTCACCGTTTGTGGTGGCCTACAGGTATTGGGAGCAGGAATAGAGAACATCGAAGCGAATTGGAGATATGTTAGACCGGAGCCCGGTTGTGTCATTGTTCTAATCGGAGATACAATGGTAGAATGGACTGCGGGAGCTGTGCGTGCTTCTATACACCGTGTTGTTACTGCACCGGGAAAACAGGCTGCAGCGACAAGATTGGGTCTAGGATATTTCCTAAGACCTTCTCATACTACGAGAATGTCCAGATTGGTTAGCTACAACGGCACTATCCCTATGCTGGCACCGGGAGAGGTCGGAGATGAGCGCGGTGTTACGGAATGGGCGCAGTGGAAAGCGAATGGAGATGTAGCGGCGGCGGTTGAGGCGGCGGGCAAAGGAAAATAGCGGATTTAAGCGATTGTATTAGTTAGAAGAGATAATGAAGGGTACTTGTTCATTCTTGATCGAATATTACCTGGCAATTTACACATATAAATCCACTTCCATGTACCTAAATATCTTATGCTCTGTTTATCTTGTTCTTCGAGTCTTTCCCCATCAGTAGCTTACACTCTTAAGCTCTCCAACCTCCCCACCACAAATTCCATCAAAGCCCCCGCTTCAACCCCATTCACATCTTCCCTAACCCCCAAACACCTCTCCACCACCTCTCTATACCCCCTCCCAACTTTACTCCCCAATCCGGGCACTAAATTCTGCACCACAATCTTATCCCTAAATTTCTCCGCCGAGTAATGCGGTTTATGATACGTCTGCAATGTTTTCCACAAACCAATCTCTAGCAATATCAATCCTAGAGAGTAAATATCAAAGGATTTACAATACTCTTTGCGCGGACAAGAAGAGGAGTGTAGAGACGAAGGATGACGGTGGAGATCCGCCGCTGTAGGATTGCGAGATGCGATGGACATTTCCCCCATATGATCTGGACGGGAAGCATCGAAACCGAGAAGATATGGTGTGCTTATATCTGGTACATTTTCTCGTTCTTTTGAGATACGGGGACTTTTCGTGTATGCACTGGGGAAGAAGAGAATATTGGAACTGCAGAGATTTTTATGCAGCCAATCTAAGGAGTGAAGGGACCAGAGGGCAACAGAAAGTTTATGAGCGAGTTTAAAGCGGTCGCCTAGGTCTGGGGTGCGGAAATCGTTGCTGGTGATGAGAGAATTGAGGGTTGAGGAGGAGGAAGATGGGGAACGATAGATAAGTCCGTAGCGGGAAGATGTGCTATCGTCTGTGTAGCCGAGACAATCAATTGTATGGAGATCTGGATGACGATCAGAAGCGCTATGAATCATGCGTGCGAGATCATCTATTCGACGAAGATGATTTAATCGAGCATCGAGGTCTTCTTTCTCGTACTCTACCCATTCAACTATAATTTCTTGTGGCTCGGCTAATGATGGGTTTCTATATTGCCCATGAGTTCTTCCCATATCTGCATTCTTGACAACCAACGCATGGCGTTGAATCTTCAAGGTATAAGTTGGCTTGAAATTCTTGGTTTCCTTCTCGTCTAGGTTGATTCTCAATTGTTTGAGATTGGCCGAGACATTCAATGCTGGGTACACCCCACTACTCGCCGCCTCCAGATCTTTCAGCTTGTCTAAATCTCGATGCGCACCTTGTAATAGTTCATTCGTCCACGTCCTGTGCAGAGTTGCTAGTCTTGATGGTGGAAACAGCTGTTCCAACCCATTATTATAATCTTTCAGATCCTGCAAAAGTACTGTGAACTTCTCCTTATCACTAATAACCCATTTAACCTTCTTCGACAACTCACTCCTCAAACTCAATTTTCCCATTCCAAAGCCTCCTTTCTCTTTCTCCACCTCCCTATTGCAACTTTCTCTCCTCTCAATCTCATCTCTCCCTCCGCTCTCTTCTACAACCCCATACTTCTCTCTCAACCTCTGGAAGTCTGTAATGGTCCTATACAACTCACTCAGAATTTCCATCGCCAAACCTCTCAACCTCGCATTGCCAATCCCCTCTTCTCTTTTCAATTCCTCCTCAAATTTTCCCTCTAAAACCCCCCACTCCCTACCCCAAACCAATAATCTCATCTCCTCAATCTTGATTTTGCAGATAAGTTTTTCCGAGTCTCTTGAGAGATCAGAAGCGGTTGTGAAGAGTGAGTAGGCTGTTATACAGCCGGAGAAGATTTGACCAAGAACTCCAACGGCTCCGACGATCGAGAGAGCTGTACCGAGGACTTCTGCCATGGCGTTGGTTATAAAGTAGGGGATATGAGATGAGAGGTAGTTTTTTGAGAAGAATGCGAAGTGTAGGTATAATGCGAAGTTATTGCGTAAGGATATACAAGAAAACGCTACCTAATCAATAGACTTGTACATAGCTAATAGGCTAATACCCAATCTCGTGGTAGTATACACATCAACATGAATAATCAATGGGGATGAATGATATATGGTATATCATTGAAAAATACCTACTGATAATATAAATTTGACAGATCAGCTTGTGCTTAGTGAGGGGAAGAAAAAGTTTGGTTGCAGGTGATGATAGTGGCTTACTAGGATTAGCAATGCAGGTCTGCGGCTGTCTACCACTCGTGATAGGTGGGATAGGCCATCTTGCATTTCTACGAAGGCTGTGAAATTGTGCAAGAAATGACTTATTTTTCACTTGCATACGGAGGGATTTATTCTTGCAGCTTCTCTATGATGAAGTGCAATCTCTTCAGGATGTGCTAATAATACTATGTTGTTTCGAGTCATGTTGAGGGCCCGACCTCGAAACAATAGTCTTTTCATTTTATTGAAACATGCAGGAAACATATTTGGCTCATAAGTCATTCATATACTTTGTAGATTGCCAGCTCTGAGATTTACAGTCAGAAGATGTTGACGCTGTACTTAAAGTGAGCCGCCCAATCTGCTGAATCTCCCTTTCAAGGAAGAAATGATAACAATGATAGAAAACTTTCCCTCATCAAATTGAACTCCGCCCTAAATGCACGGCTCGCTGTTTGCTTTTTCCTGAACCTTCACTCCCCTGCTCTCGTTTCAACCTCACCACCGAAGTTTAGTAGACCTTCTTCTTCTCGTCGATGGAGTATTTCCCTGGTCCGCTGTTGACAAGGAGGAGGAGACCTCCTACAATAGATAGAATTTGGAAGAAATCGTACTTTGCGAAGTCCTTGTGGGGGTGGTGTTCGTGAAGCTATGGTAAATTAGTCAAGTGCCCCGCATAAGCAATAGAGCTTTACTTATAGAGCTTTACTTACAGTCCAAAAGTTGTTTACCAATACGTTAAAAACACTCAAGATAAGCACAAGCATGATAGCACTGAACTTTGCCTTGAAGCCCACGACAACCATAACACATGCAACGAGACCGAAAAGGGCTACAATCACTCTCCAAACACTCCAGGTGCCACTGAAAACAAATCCGACGAAGAGGAAGATTAACAAGACACGGCCAGCAAGCTGGAAGTACATTTTGCGGTCTTTCTCATCGATCTCCGGGAGACCAGCAAAAGCCTTTGATTTGCGGACCCATGAATCGGACAGAACCATCAATAGACCACCCATGACCGAAAGGTTGCGGAGGAAAAAGTTGAGATCGAAGATGAGACCATATCCAAGAGCTTGTACGATTACTACGCCAATCAATCCACCGACAGCGTAATCCGAGTATCTTCGTGTGATAACAAGTGTAGAGCATGAGACCATTGCGAGTACGTTAACGATCAGGAAGAGATGTGTAAGACCGCTTGGGACTAGAAGATTGTTAATTATGCTGTGCCATGTTTTGAACAGATAGGTAGCATACTGTGTCGGTAATCATGCAGATATAATAGTTGATCGCTCCACTGTGTAATTATTCTCAATGCATCTTCCAGGAATGTAACGACAATCAAGAATCGTCCGATGGCTGGCAAGTATCTGCAGAAAAGTAGGAGTTAGTAGATTGAAAAAACGCAAGCAAATTCAAGCACAGAATTGGACCCCTCAAGCTGTCCTCTGCGGGGTCCTCTGAGGGACATGAACATACGGCTTAACCGGATCACTTAATGTATCCAAGAAATCCTCAATCTTGCTTGTTTGTTCTCTGATCGCATCGAGAGTGCCAGGTTCGTTCTGTTTATCCATACCACCCATACTTGGTCCTGCTCCGAATGAGTTCTGCCCACCTAAACCATACCCTGCATTACCGCGTATCGACATTGTCGCAATTTTGCTGAACTTGCACCAAATCAAAGAGAGTAAAAGAAGTCGAACCGAGTTGTAGTCAATTAACACCAAATAGTGTCTTGTACCTGCGAAGGGTGGACTGTTATTATTTCAAAGGGGTGGAGGTATGAAGAAGAGGAATGAATGAACCTTTTGAGGTTCAAGGTCTTTCTAATACGATTCTCGGTAGAACAACCTAAAGGACAGATTGAATAATGATCCGAGGAACCTAACGAACCTAACGAGTTACCCCATTTGGTCCTGCTGCTACATGCGGAATGGAATACAATCAATCTATTAATTATTTTGTTAGGTGAATGATGAAATTAACAAAGCTCTTTGTACTCGTATTCATATTGAAAATCAATTATCATATTCACAATAGAAGAAGTATTTATAACATCATCACATCATCATCATTTATGGTTAAAATCAAAGCCAGAGAAAGATAAATCTCAAAAGTTTAATATTCTCCGTACTCATTCTTAAGGTTCCGCTGTAGGATTTGCCCATCACACATGATATTTATAGCTGTGCTAGTGAGCTGATGTCTCTCGTCAATCTCCATCTCGCGATTCAGGGGGAATTTTTGGACGATCTTCAGTGTCCTGATGTGTAACTCCCAATTCAGATAGCTTGATGCCGCCTTACCGGATTCTAAACGATATCCCGCTATAACGCCTTAAATCATAATGGTAACACATAAACACGATCCGAAGAGTTATTGTTTTTTAATAAGCGAAATCCTTAATGGAAAGCACTCAGATCCAACGGAACACTACTTCCACGACCAGCCCGGTATTTTTTGGGCCCACCAATAAAATCTCGAGGTTTTGGGAATACCGATTCATCTGTGAATTTCCATCGTGGATCATTGATTATGATTCTTCTGCTAGAACTAGAGGCTTGCGGTAAACTGCCATTTGATGAGAGGGTGTAAGAACTAGAATCCATTGTGTGAGTTCTTCCTTGTTGTTGACTTTGACTTCTTGATATTGGTGCCGCTGGGGGTGGAGCGGGCGGAGATGGTGTTCTGTGTGACGATATAGAGGGAGGCCCATTAGATGGAGGTGGCGGTGGTGGCGGGGGAGGTGCACTCATTGGTGATGCTTGGCCAGCAGCACGAATTGCTGCTTGCGCAGCAAGACTGTGGTTACCTCCATTAGTCGAAGGTGGAGATGTTGGTGGTGGTGGAGGAGGTGGAGGAGGTGCATGTGATCGAGGTGGGTTACTGGGAGGACGTGGAGCTGGGGAAGGTGGTGGCGGAGGTGCAACAGGTGGCGGCGGTGCTGAAGAAGGAGGTGGAGGAGCGAATGCTGGAGGCGGTGGCGGCGGGCCTGATAGCGCTGATGATGGCTTTCGAGTCCCAGGGGGTGGAGGAGGTTTTTTGCCAATAGGGGGTGGTGGCCCTTTGAGAGAGGCTGAGGATGCAGGACGAGAAATAGATGGCCCGCCGGTCTTTCTCAGATTCGCAACTGAGGGCGCAAATGCAGGAGTACTAGGGCTGGGCTGAGGAGGAGGAGGCCTGATTGATGGTAAAGGCGGAGCTGCGTTTGTTGGAGGTCTGGGAGCAGCCATACCTGGCGGTCTGGGAGCAGAGAATTCTGGTTCTGATGCAGTCGATGAGTCGCGGTTTGCTGTAAAAAAAAAATTAGATACATCTCAATTATATAGAACGTAAAACCTTACCGCCAGTATCCACTCCTCCACCTCGTTTCTTCAACTTGGGCATGCCACCTGCGAATATTCCTCCAAGCTGTGGAGCTTGTTCCATCCCCGAGACCGCATTATTGCTCCCTTGGTTACTATCACTTCGAGCTCTATTTCCTCCCGGTACTGGCGGTGCGCCAAATCCGCTGGGAGGTTTTGCCATTCCCGGTACTGGTGGAGCACCTCCTATTGGCGCCGGTCCAGAACCATTGGATACTTTGCCTACTATCGGTGCCGATCGATCGTTAGTGACAGCTTTCTTAAGTGCTCTTCCTTTCGTGATATCCGACAAGAGTGCGCCCTGTGGTCTGATTAGCAACACCAACTTGACAAGCTCAAAGTAAATGTACAGCTGGGAATTTTTACTCTATTGGCAGCAACTTTCGCAGGTGGTCTGGACGGCATAGCTCCTGGAGCTCCTCCCGGCGGCGGCGGTGGAGGTGGACCCCCAAATCCTCCAGGAGGAGGAGGAGGAGGTGGTGGTGGTGGTGGAGGCATGATTTCGTGAATAACAATTGTTTAATCTTGAGATTGAACAACGTTTAATGCAATCTCAAAGGGTTCCTTTGGCCGAAAGACTTGGTGTTGTGTTTCATTCAAGCTTGGATTTCAAGAAAATGTGCTCAAACGGAATGAAATTATTGTATGTTTCAATGCTTCAAAGAACTCGGGATGCCTAAATACCTAGAAACTAGGAAAGTTATGTCGGATTCATACATTGTGTTCGTCGTCACGATTGTGGCTCATGCATCGAGTTCAGCCTTCTTTATTAGTCAGCCATATCATGTACAGGGGTGTCGAGCAGGGATGTGACATTTTGATAGGATGCGGGCTTAACGGTCTTGACTACAACTCATCGAAAAACCTCAAATTAAAGATACCGGAAACTTGATATCACCCTACGCAATGTCAAAACGCCTTTTCAAGCCTCGTTCGGACGTATGTCGTATATGCGACTTCATCACTTCCCAGCAATCATCTCTAAGACCACAGCGTCAATTTTCGCAAGCAATAAGCACTACTCCTCGCACATTTACCACCACTACCAGGAAGCGATCAAGCAAGCCTCCAAAGTCGACCCCCTTCAATACTTTGCGTCAATATTCAAGTCCAGCTCATGTAAGACCATCCCGGCATATCACGGAAGCAGAACTCGAGCAAGGATTAAGGCGTGGAATCGATGCATGTAATAAATTATTTTCGGAAACTGTAGCTTCGGAAAAGGCCATTCTGGACGTTTTACATACATGCCGATTGATCGCTGCGGACGTTGCTGGAGAGCCTGCTAAATCATCAGACACAAAGAAGGATGTAACTGCTGCCGCGTCTTTACTTTCCTTGGCTGATCGAGGATCGAAGAAGCTGCGAGTCCAAAAGCTATCCCACGACAATCAACTTTTAGTGGATGAGCTCTCGCGAGCCCTATTTTCGATGGTTTCCCATGAGTCTGTCTTCATATCACCAGAAATTTTAGAAGTATATATCAGCGCACAATCATGTCTAGGAAAACCCGAGACTTTTCCAGAAGCATTTTACATGTATGCGAACAAGCCGATACCAATCGAGGGCTCTAAAGGAAAACAGTTCAAGAAACAGAATCCAAATAAGGTCAACAATGCCATACCAGTTTCTGTGGCAGATCAAGCTTTACAAACCGCAATAGATGCCAGGGAATTAGATGTAGCTATGGATATCGTTGATACAGCATATGCGCAAAAATCATTTCGTCGTGCTAAATTTATCCGGAAAGGATTGTTACCCACAACCGGGCTTGCTGTGGCACCTTTTGGAGCGTATATTGTTGCATCACAACTTGCTATGTTCCAGGACTCCATGGAACCCGGCATGGCCACAAACATCGCATTTGCTGGAATATTAGCATATATGGGGTTTACTACCACTATCGGTATTGTAGCTGTGACAACAGCCAATGATCAAATGGATCGCGTGACTTGGGCCCCAGGTATGCCACTGAGAGAGCGCTGGATCCGTGAAGAAGAACGGGCAGCGATAGACAAAGTCGCGGGATCATGGGGTTTTCATGAAGAATGGCGGCGTGGCGAAGAAGAGGGCAAAGATTGGGATCGATTGAGATTGTGGATCGGTAATAAGGGAATGCTGCTAGATGCAGTAGAACTTATGGAAGGTATGGAGTAGTTGAGCTTTAGGGAGGTATGAATAAATAGCCTTTTAGCTTGAAGTCTGTTGCTTTAATTTCGCTAGCGCGGATATCGCTTATGATCATGATTTTGTAAGTTATCAAACTTTATGGCTTCCATTCGGTAAAGGTTTCATACACGTTATTCTTTTCGGAATTCTCACTTCGATTCAAATGATTTTGCGAGCGCACAACTCAAGCCAAAGCGGTACATGAGTACGAAAAATTCAAGATGTACTCAATTAGATCCCTTACTCGCTACTTGTTCTCGAGCAAAAAGGTATAGACTATTTCCACTAGTCTCACTAGTTTCACAAGCGCAGAGACGGCTTCATTGATAGTGAAATCTGGGGTAGTCTAAAAGCTCCGAAGTTCCCCCACTACAAAATATGACGTTTACTGGATGAGATGTTAAAATTGTTCAATCCGTGTCATTTTCGAATGGAGTTTGGAAAAAAATACTTTTACTACGAGCGACACATCAAATTTGATTTCTTCATTGCCAAACTTCTTCTCAATAATCAACATGCCATCTGACATGACATATCCAATGCAATCAGAGAAATGTCTTAAGCATGGCCATTTCATGCACAACCTAAATACGAGCGCAGCAAAGAGTATCTTCTGGGTTCTTTTCCTAATTGTTCTCATCATGTTAACCGTTGCAACGAGTGCCTTTACTAAAAGTGCCCATATAGCCACGAATGTTTGTCGCCTTGACACCCCCCCCATTCATCTGCTATAAGTCCTCGCTGCCGGACCATTAACACGGGTACCCAGACACATCAAAAACGCAGAATTACATCCGACAATTTCTAGAGATCTCTGCCCAAGACGGCTCTCCATCAGTAAAGAGAAGCATCGTCGCACTCAAATTCGATGCATCTGTGTCTCTTCTCTCTGTCTCGTTGTCGCAATTACCTGCACAGTCTTCGAAGCTTTCGCCGCATCCACTCTTATTTTCTGCCATCAATCAGATATGGTCTTCCTATATTGGTCATTCTGGACTTTGCTTCAAGTTGGTAGTACTATTGCAATTTTCGGTATTGGATTGGCACAGTTGTAGTCGTATATGGGAAGGGAGTCGCACCCAGTCAAGTATGTAATACAAGCTGCCCCTCGACTGTTTTCAATATCTCGTCTTGTCCAAATGTCTCATCTGGTTTAGAAAACCAAGCTACCTCTAACTCTGACTGACTGGTATCCACGCAACAGTGTGGCAATTGGAACACTGGTTTTGATCATAGCCTGGTTAGGTATGGCACTTGAATATCTATGTAAGGGATGGTTAAGCGAGGAGGCTTTGAAGAGCTTTGAAACTTTTGTCGATGGTTTATTAATGGATTCGCCTCGGTAAGTTCTTTTCAACCTGTCAAACTTTTAATGTACCCAACAGTTTGCACTATAGCCCGACAATCAGGGGCGTGTATTTTTCAATAAATTTGAAACATTTAAATGGTTTGAAAGGGTGTATTTCAAGACTATTTTATACTCTATTTCAAAATACCTAAGAATTTACAAACCAAAAGCTAACACCCACCAGCCAAAGTGAACCCAACGCTGAAGCCGAGAACCAAGCCAGCACGTCTTCCGTCCCAACTGCCGAACTCTTAGGGTTTACACTCGATAATCGTCCCATCATCGCGGTCCACAGATTATCTGGCGCACCTCATCCCATGGCTCGTCACTTGAGTACTACTGATGACGGTCGTTCAATATACGTATACGAGGCCATACCGACTGATCCCATTGATGCCGATATCAACAACAACTCTGTGAGACCCAGTTTGTCTATGGCTACTGGGAAGATGGAACAATCAGGCAGAACATCTCGTACCGCAACTTTTGACCAAGTCCACGTCGAGAAGCTCCACCAGCGTTGGCTGAAGTAGATAGGGGTCCGACGAACGTGTTTGAAGATGATGTGCAGGAAGAATAATATGGAAATAGGGCTCTCAATAGTCGCGATTGCAGTCCGATAGTAGCGGGCCGATAATCTCCTTCGAAACCAGCCAACCAATCCAGATGTCACCTCTTCTGCCCCATATCCGATGTACAAATCATAGTTCACTCTCACCATTCACTCTCACCATGTCACTCTCATCATATCACTCTCACCATGTCTCACCATATCCCCACCATTACCATCCACCTCTAGAACACAGCATAGCATAGCATACCTAGGTATCTAACATCCTTCCAAAAATCGATATATCAGCCATTTCAACACCAACATCAACATCAACACCACCCACACTTCCCCTCCCTTCCCCTCCCTTCCCCTCCCATACTTTCCCCATCCATTATTCAAATTAAAAGTAAAAGTAAAAGTTTAAAAATATTCTCCCGGTGAGCTCAGATATCATCACATCAGTATCCATATATACAAAATCCCAGCAAGCTTTCTGTACACAGAAATATGACCTGCAATTTGAAACATAGTGTACTTAGATAGGCTTTTACTATGGTCTTTCCCATCACTCCTTTTACTTCCCTCTCAACGGAAAGCATTCATTAACTTCTGTGATACCAACATTCACTTCCTTAATTTATGCTCCCTTATTCACTCTTGTCTTCGGCAAACCCTTTCTTCCCCCTATCTATGCCTGCTCGTTTCTTTGAATCCTAGGGTAGCGTTTCACATATTAAGCGTATAAATTAAAACCAAGCCTTCGACGGCCACAAGTCTCAAAGCACAAATATAAAGCAACGCAAATTCTGAAAGATAATTAAGCTTTTGCTCTTTTTGTAAAATCTTACGCTATGCATAATAGGACGATCTATCTGATAAGGATATGCTCAACGCCATCGCATCCTCATCTCATTTCATCACACCCCACACTAAACCGCTCTACCCGCCTTCCCAACCTGTATAATTTCGCCCGTCCTCTGCTCATCACTTCTCAACACTGGCCAACTAGCACCGTCAGCTTTCACCAACGTAACTTCCAACTTTGTGCCCATAATTTTGAATGAGGATGCTTCTGTATCAATTGCGCCAAAGAGTGGAACCACAGTCTTATAGCGTTTGGGAACCGCGTCTGTGGTAGGAAGATCAAGAGTAAGTTCTTGAGGGGCGGAGAAGGATACGACTGCATCCTCCTTCTTAATCTTTTTGAGGAAAAATGAGGCGATGACTGAGGTTGCTGTTTGGTAAAAATCGTGTCTGTATTTTATCATCATTAGTATTGCACTAACAACTTCCTCGAGAACGTCGTCTCATAACAAACAAAACTAACTCACCTAACCGTGTCCAAAATCTCCTCACCCCCCTCCTTCGCCTTCCCCTTCCCTCCACTGCCAATGAACAAATGTGAACCCTTGGTCTTACATCCTTCGATTTTCATAAACTCATCAAACTCCAAAACTCTCCTCTTACAGCAAGTATAGCCCTTGCTACCCTCATGGAAAATAGGCACACCAGGGTGAAACACACATTTCTCCCCCTCTCTACTCTTTCCCTCATATTGCTGACCACAAGCTTTCCTCCTGCAAGTTTTACCCACTGGAATTTCTAGCGACGCATCATCATCTTCAGATTCTGGTGCTGGGGGAGGAGGGGTAGCTGTAGCTTGAGGAGCTGGAGCAATTGGAGCTCTGGCAGGTTCGGGAGGAGGAGAGGGCACTGAAGAAGCTTGTTCAGATGCATCTGGAGCTGGTTTCTTCTCTACCTGAGGTGGATGATCTGTGGTGCTGTGTTTGCCGGTTGTGCAGGGTGGAATGGCGAGGAATTCGTCGAAAGTCAGGACGCGGGGTTTGCAGCATTTCCAACCTGTTTTTTGGGCACATTTTAGTATCATAAACAAGAATTTAGAGCTACATAAAGCGAATGGCATGAATCAGCATACCTTTTTGACCCTCATGGAAAACCGGTGGTCCAGGATGGTACAGACAGTCTTCCTCAGGATCAGTATAAACCTTAGTACAAGATTGATGTACACATTTTTGCGCCATCTTGTCTAACTAGCTCTTCAATAGAAATTCGAAGATAATGATGAAACCTTGAGAGAAGACTGCTGGTTCGAATATAAAACTTTGTGTATCGTGTAGAATGAAAAGTCGACATCAGATCTTCCTCCCCAACTTCTAGAATGCTCTAAGGTATTCTGCCATAAAGTGAGTCTCACCGCCTTTGGACATCCCGATCCGTTGGAAGTTAATCTGAACGGGGGGAGGGGAGAGCAAATCAACCCTTGCCCCGGAGCGAATCATCCTACTTGAGCTATTATCAAGCCGACTTTGAGGCTCATACTGAAAGATCTTTGAAATATAAAAAATTGGCATCCTAGATCAATATGTTTCCAACAACACGACTACTCCAAGCATGTCGAATCACGCTTTTCACAAGAGCTAATTGTTCACTCTGTACCAACGCCAAAGATACATTATTTAAAGTCCGAGATACAAGACCATTTGTGTATAGAGAGATTGCTGTTATGGAAGATGGACAAAAGCACTGGAAGGATTTATACGAATTTGATACACCTGTGGTTGGTTTACCTTGACCCAAATAAAGACAAAGTTTGCTAATATTCTGTGTTAGATTCACGTTAGTAGGGAGGATGCTGGGGAGGAACAGTCTGAATTGGCATCCAAAGCAAGAAAGCTGATGCATAGATTTACTGAGGAGGAAGTCAAAGCGAAGATGGATGAAGTGGAAGGGAAAAATTCTGTCTGATTTATGCCGAACCTGTACCTCTACAATCTATTCTAACATCCGAAGGCGTTTTCGTACGGTTCCGAATAAGTATATGTACACCGATCAGTGATCTATCTGCCGTAGGGACCAGTCAATTTGGGGCCATCTTCTTGGCCCTTTGCCTTGTTCACGGCAGCGATTACACCCTGTGGTAAAATATGCATATCTGTTGCAACACTCATCATATGGAACCCCTGATCTGCGTACCCTTTCGCTTGTTCTCCACTCGTACAAAAGATACCGGCCTTTTTTCCAGCTGTATTTGCCGCCTTCAAGATCTTTGCAATTGCAGCATGAAGATTCTCGTGCATTTGTCCTGCAACAATGGGATGGCCAATGTTGTTGCCAAGATCGAAAGGACCAATAAAAAGAACATCAATACCAGGGACAGCAGCAATGGCGTCGACATTCTCCAACGCTTCCTTGGTTTCGATTTGTACCATGGTCAGAATGCTGTCATTGGCTTGCTTCAGATATGCATCAGAGTTCAATTCGGGGTTGAAGCGCTCATGAGGAAACGGTGATCCAAAGCCTCTTTGACCTTGAGGCGGAAACTTAGCACTTTTCACGAGCTGTTCAGCTCCCTCTGCTGTGTACAGGAGAGGTACAAGTATACCATGCGCACCACAGTCCAAAGCCCCTGTTGAGCTATTAATATCTACATACATGTTGCAATAAATCTTGGTGACTTACGCTTAACCATCCATCCTTGGTTATCTGGAATTCTAACTATCGGACTCACCCCGCACGCAGCAATTGCTGGAACTGCATCATGCATTGCGGCATCTGTTGAGGCGTTAGATAAGTGGCGATGAATTGTCAAATGTATAATTTGTCATCGTCTATTGATTGATTCCTGATTTCAAAAGATTGCGGTAGAAGTGCTTCGTGTATGAATGAAAGGGCCTCAACAGAAAATAGAATAGGCATTGGATAATGAATGGACATCCCAACAATCCAGACTGCAGGCCAAACCCTGGAATTTCTAACGCTCGAGATTATTTGAACGCCGGAATGTAGTTTAGTTTCCCAAATGTAACTACTGCTTCATAGAATTCCAGTGCATGCCAGACCACCAGCGAATTACCGTGGCTGTGATTGATACCACTAGGTATAGTAGAGTCATTTAAGCTCAGTGACTACGTTTGTCTAATAGCTCATGAATGTCAAGAACACCAACAAGTGGCTTAACACGACACCAAAATGAAGTGACTCACCGTCTATATTCCCATGCTCGCAATCCACCAAGACCCAATCAACACCTGTCCTCGCTAAAGTTCTCGAAACGTTGGCTCCTGGAATCATCTGCCAGCAGCCCGTCGCCGGCCCCTTGCCCTCCCCCATCACCCTCCTCAAACGATTTGCTTCTTGCATGATTGTCGCCATTTTATGGTAACTGTGTCCGTTTTTGACTAGAAGGTTCTTCGTTAAGAACTTTGAAGAAGAACGAAAAGCCGGATTAGATCTCCAAACAAGGTTGCAACGAGATAGCATGAGGTATGAAGAAGTTGAGAAGTAACTTTATCTTTGTGTATGTCAATGATGTAGAATTGCGTTATCGGACATACTGACGGGATATGACTGTTGTCTACCCCACATTTTGCTGTCCTGCATACCTAATGATCGTTCCTGCTTGAAGGATATGGGAAGGAGGGGCTGATCATGTTATAATTGATTGGACACTCATTGTCTCCTGCCTAGAAGTTACTACTTCGTACTATCGTAGAGCTTTCTGTGAGTTTTAGATGTTGAGAGATGATTAATTGGTACTCTGTTGGCTGTTGCATGTTGAGGAAACGACTCCCAAAGATTAGATTCGTCTCGAACATTGAGCCAACATGAAGATTAAAAAGACTCATGCAATTTGTCTACATTGCCAAATGCGGTAAAACATTGGTTTTCCCCAAAATGGGAATTTGATATCCCATCGAGCCCATCTCGAGAGAGCTAAAAAACAATTACCTAAATAGAAGCTCGTGGGGAAACAAGTACCTCGGAAGGAAGGTGGGGGATTGTGGTTTAACGTATCGTAAATCATGTGAGATTACCCCCCCCCCACATGAGCTTTTATTCCTTGTTTGCCGTCCCTTGAGCCGAGATGTGTCCCAAAACATGAAAAATGAAGGTATTCTCATGGTCGTTGGCATCCTTGGGTACTAGCTCAATGCTGATCATGGCCATATATACACTAGAATATTATTAGAACGCAAGCACAGATTGTAGAACTCGGCCAAGTGTAAATGTTGCAGATGTGTTGACATCTACTCCGTACTTGTTTATGAAGCCTGCTGCCTTTACCCCTCATTATATACTTTGTAATATGGGTTCCCCCATACTTGAAACATGCATGATGATTGCCTTGAGCGTTTGTCATAGAATCATCAAAAGTCCTCGAGTGGAACATGCAAAGGAATTCCATCCTTGAGCCCGGGAGGAACACGGCTTCGACCGGATAACCGATTGCATCTTCCGGTTTCCAAGTTACAACATAATTGCTTGGATTTTAGAGAAGGTCAGCTGCCGTGATCAAAAAATGCATATAAGCAGCGGTGTGACCTTGAGAGATTAAACTTTTTGAGAATTCTCGACTCGGACTCAGCGAATCGAGGTACAAAGAGCTTATTGCGTAAAGGTCTTGATCAATTGGGGCTCCACGCTCCTTCCCACTACGATGAGCCGCTCGTAAATGCTCAGATGCCGCATTTCCATAGCGATGCTGCATTGTGACCCCCACGGGCTTTGAAGTGGAGCCCCCGTGAAAAACTAATGTACGCCACAGCATGGGATTCAATACATGATGCGAGAGTCCCGATCGAAGACCCGCTACTCAGACAAGGACTAGGGATCATCAGCGTGACCTCTCAACCACAGTTTTGGGAAGAGGGTGAAATTATATTATGGAGTTGAGTCACTTGAGTGAAAAGGAGAAAGGAATGGAATGCACAGAGTACGATCCTCCCTCCCTCCCTCCCTCCTTCTCCACAAGCTTCCTGTAATAAGATATATGAGCCATTATTTATCCATGTAAAGAGTCAAGAGCTGAATGGGCGATGGGCAGTGGGCACGAAGTTGGGCAATCATCTATTCATAGTTTGAAAAGTGTATTTATTGTATTAGTGAGACAGACGATGGTGCAGATTGTATGCAGTAAGAAGAAATGATGTTGACGTTGGGCAAGGCCAAATCAAATTACTAGGTAACCTTGCAAGCAAGACAGACGAATGAAATGGCAGGAAAAAGAAAGAAAAATCGTACCAACCTTGCTCTCGCCCTTCTCACCATTGACCAACCTGATTCTACAACAAGCTCCAGGAGTTATTAGACCTTTCGACCACAGAAATGATGAAATCCTTGTGTGTTATATTAAATGTCCGAAATTGGATTGCAACGATTGAAATCAATGGATACCTAACATCATACCCCTACATCATAATTTGTCCGTTCCCACCCAAAATCCAAGAGACGTCAAACACAAACGGGATCGAACGTTTGAGAAGTTGCCTTTACTTCGTGGGTATGTACTAGGTAGGAGAGAGGTAGGTACTCCGTAGTATCTGCGACGTCTAGACGGCTCGCGTGAATCTTTTCCCTTCCCCTAGACGTGCTGAGCTACGTGTTGCATCGCTGTGCTACGTATTAGACTTACAGGTCACAACTTATACTTCGTATATATCGCTATGACTATCAATCATATCATCTAGCATCGTCACCTGCAGTATCACTCTTACCACCTAATCGAGGATCGGAATTGAAACAATACAATTTGACGGTACATATACATACAGCCAGTACCTAGGCACGTACCGGTGCTGAACTTCCATTTTCGTCACCGTGCGATTTGTAGAAGGTAGAACATCGATCCTAATGGGTTCCACGTTTTTCTTTGAGAATTGAGATGGACACATTCTCCGCTTTTCCCTTATTTTTCCGTGTTTAAGGAGAAATTGTCAACTAATCACAGTCAGTCAGTTCAATCGAATCCATGAACTTGGATCGGAATTCTTACGTCGTAAAAGTCTTTTCCTTTGCCAGATACCTTTGCATGTGTGTATGTATGTAGTATGGAGTATGTAGGATGTAGGATGTAGGATGTAGTGCAAGGAGGGGGGATACTACAACTACCTACATACAGGTCAACATTCAAACGTCTACTCCCTCCGTGATCACTGATCACAACAAGAGTGGCTGATTTTTTCTTTTTCTTTCTTTTTCTTCTTCTGCTTCTGTTTCTGCTTCTAGAATTCCAGGTACCATAACCCTGCTTGCAAGGAGATCTCGTTCAACAGGGATGGTGCAAAATCGTTTTCCCCTTCCTCTTCCTCTTCTTTTATTCTTCTTCTTCTTCTTACTTTAACAGCGGAGAGAGGGGGGGAGGGGGGAGCGGTGATGAAAAAGAGACTCGACTAGATCTTTAAATGGGCCACCAACCACCAGGGTCTTTCGAGGCTTGAATCGTTCTCTTTCCGAAAACCTTCCATACTTCCTTTCGGTGGGTCACATCACCGTGCCAAGGTCAAACTCCCTTGGTTACCTAGGTAGATGTGCCATTTTCTGCCGTCACCCATACAATCAATTATTACTTTTCCAGTCGACCTCGTACTCCATATTCTGTACATGTCTGTCGGTGTTTATTTCATCTTTCTTTCTCCTTACTAGGTCGACATGGCACACGACCCACCGCCACTTGCCGTCATTTGCCTAGGTCCTTCTTATTCTTACTCCGGGACCTAACCATTTGCTATATACCTCACTTCCTTCCCACATCGTGAGTCTTTGGATTGATTGTCTGAAATTAACTACCTTTACTTTGTTCTTCGTCATTCGTCATATACTGTCATCTTTCCTCACTCACGTCAAAACAACTTCAAGAGCTCATCAACAAACAAACCTTTCGAGAGAGGAAAAAAGTGTATTTACTCTCCGTGCATTTCGTTTTATTGTTGCTATACTTCTATCAATACATAACATCACTCTTCACT